AACCTACTCATTGTTTTAGTAACATGTTATTTAGCCTCCATGTTTTTGTGTGGTTTTTTTTAATATTTTTTCTTGTAATTGATTTATAGTTTCATACCATTATAATTGGAGAAGATGCTTGATATGTTTTCAATCTTCTTAAATTTATTGAAACTTGTTTTTATGGCCTAACATGTGGTCTGTTCTGGAAAATGTTCCATGTGCACTTGGAAAAAAAAAATGTATATTCTGCTGCTTTCGGATTAAATGCTCTAAAAATATCAATTGAATCCATCTCATCCAATGTGTCATTTAAGGCCACTGTTCTCTTGTGGATTTTCTAACTGGAAGATCTATCCATTGATGTCATTGGGGTGCTAAAGTCCTTTGCTATGACTGGATTACTGTCAGTCTCTCCCTTTATGTCCATCAACATTTGTTTTATATATTTAAGTGCTCCTGTGCTGGATGTATAAAGATTTACAAAGCTACATCCTCTTTTGTGATTACTCCTTTTATTATTATGTAATTTTCTTCTTTGTCTCTTTCTATAGCCTTGGTTTTAAAGTCTATTTTGTCTGATGTGAGTATTGTTACCCCAGCTCCCCCCCCCCCCCCCCCCCCCCCCCCCCCCCCCCCCGCTCCACCTCCTAGCCCTGCATTTGCATGAAAAATCTTTTTCTATCCCTGTTAATGGGTGTGTGTCTGAGTGTATGTGTGAGGGGACAAGCTGCATACAGTTCCAGGCCTGGATCAGGTCATCAAAATGCCCAAGGCACCCCTAGAGCCACCATTGCCTGCTGGTAGACCCACTATTGCCTGCTGGCAGTCTTTTAGGCTCAGCCACTGAAAGAACCTGAGCAGTACATGAGTTTATGAGGTAGGTTCTCAGGGAAGTACCAAGTAGGGGCAAGTGGTATTCACCAGGTTAATACTGATTCAAACTCGGCTCCAGGTCTGGGTCTGAGGCCACTCAGCCAAAGTCTCAGGGTACACTGAGGCCAGCCACCCACCTGTGGCCTTCAGACCTTTTTGTTGGGGAGTGGTCTCAGAGAGTTATCAGGGTGGAGCTAGTGCAGTGTTCTAGGCTAATGCCTGGGAGCAGTCCCAACACAGGAATGATGACACTGGTTGGAGTCACTGAGAAAATAGGCTTTACCCTAAAGCCACACAATTTAGCTTTTTTCTGTGTGTCTCTGGCACATACCCCTCCTCCCACCTGAGCTTGCTGGAATTCTTCTAGAGTTTCTCAGGAAAGAAATGCAATGCAGGCCAGGCGGTTGGCAGGGTAGGGCCTCAGGGAGTTGTCAGGGTGGGGCTAGTGTAGCTCTCAAGGCAAATGCCTTGAGGGGAATGCTGGGGATGGCAAAGATGGCCTCTGTGGGCTGTGAGAGAGACTCCGCACAGGGATATTGGCGGCTGTCTTCCAGCCTTCTCCTGAAGCTACAAAACTCATTCTCAACCTGGTGTGATTCCAGCATCCTCTGAGCTGCCATCCTCTCGCCGGAACCAGGGTGAGTGCCTGCAAGTTAGATTTTTGTGTACTTCCCTTTCAAGAGGAGCCCTGGGTTTCCAGCAGGCTCCCATCTCTCCCAGGCAGATGGAATCCCCACGGGTTTCACTGCCTGATGCTATGGGGGCTCTTCTTCCTGGCACTGGTTCTCTGGACTGTTGAGCCCTGCATGAGGTTGAGACCCTCCACTCCTCTTTTGTAAATCCTTAGTTATAAGACTTCTCTTCAGTTAGACTTCGGATGGTTGCCTCGGTGGCCTGTTTTATAACCTAGTTATATTTTTGATGTGGTGGTGAGAGATGAATGCAAATTTTTTTCTAATCCACCATCTGGATTGCTCTCCACCATACTTTATTTAAGTTGTAATATTTAGGTTGTTTTGTGGGTATTTAGGTTGATTCTAATTTGGTATTATTAGCAATCTCAAGTAAAATTTCTTTGGTGAACATTGGAGTGCTTTTGTGAACATTGAAGCGTTTGTCTCATTATCCCTTTGGAATAAATTCCTCGAAATAGTGGGATTAACTGGAGAGGAAGTTCTCTCTTTCTTTGCAAAATGAGCCAGGCTTTGTACAGCCACAAACTTACTCTAAAAGAAGGAATAATAAGTCCTCCATATTGTAATTTTCTCTGTTTATCTACAAGAAATGTAGTGGGTCTGCTCACATGGGAATGAATAAAAAGCTGACTATACTGCATAGCAGGTTCCAGGTGAATAGAAAAGATCTCTAGTGTCCACCAGCCGAATTCTTTGAGAAAGGAAGAAAGAGAGGAGTGAACTGATAATTGAGTGAAAATCAACACCTTAATCAATTTTAATTAATACAAAATTATGTATCATTTTAATTCACCAGACAACTTTATATGTGATTGAAATTGTGGGCTAAAATCTATATAACTATTTAAATTCTATGATAGGGTGGGTGTTTGCTTAACCTGAGCCATCTTATCTATTTTATTTTTAGTCGACATTACATTTATTTAATTGATTTATATAATGACACTAAAAGTACAAGTTTATCATGAAAAATAGAAGAAAGTTAAGAACAGTTCATATTCTTCTAGACATTCTCTAAGTATAACTCCCAAAGCAGTATCTAGCACTTGAGACTTGCCCTTACCAGAATTCATTGTGTCTGTAGAGGGAACTCAGTCTGTGAAGTGTTATGCCTGCTTACAGGTTTACAGTCACTTAACTTTCTATATTGCAGTAATTTTAGAGAATCCAAGAGGCAACAGAGGTTTTTCAATTGCAGGCTAAATTCAGCTCTGTAAATATAATTGCAGTAAGTAAAGATTGGTCAGGGCACATATGGCAGGCAACTAATTGATGTTTCTCTTTCACATTAATGTCTTTTTCTCTCTCCCTTTCCCCCCTTTTTCTCTCTCTCTAATCAATTAAAAAACCATCCCCTCGGGTGATGATATATATATATGAGATGTTTAAAAAAATAAAAATAAAAATAAATATACACACACACACACACATATACACACACCCATATGAACAAACAAATAAACATGCCTGTGAAAACTCAACAAACATCTCTATACCCCACAAGCAAGAGAGAGTGAGGAGAGAGAAATCAAGATCATATGATGAGATCCTTTGATACTTATCTTCCTCTGACACACTTATTTCATTTATCATCATCTTCTCCAGGTCACTCCATGCTGTCTCAAAAAATATCCCTTTTCTTTTTTATATCTGAATAATATTCCATGATGTAAATGTACCACAGATTTTTTTATTTTTTTATCCACTCATCTACTGATGGTCACTTAGGTTGCTTCCAAATCTTAGCTATTTTAAACTGTGCTGCTATGAACACAGGGGTGCACATAGTCTTTTTGATTGGTGTTTCAAATTCCTTAAGATATATTCCTAAAATTGGGATCACTGGGTCAATGGAAGTTCCATTTTTACTTTTTTGAGGAAACTCCACACTGTTGTCCACAGTGGCTGCATCAGTCTGAATTCCCACCAGCAGTGTATTAGTGTTCCCTTTTCTCCACACCGTGGCAGCACATGCCATTTGTTGATTTGTTGATGATAGCTATTCTAACAGATGTGAGGTGATAGCTCATCGTTGTTTTAATTTGTGTCTCTCGGATGATTAGTGACTTTGAGAATTTTTTTCATATGTCTCTTGGCCTTCTGTATATCCATTTTGGAGAAATGTCTATTTAGATCCTTTTGACAAAAGAGGCAAGAACATACATTGGAATAAAGACAGTCTCTTCAATAAATGGTGTTGGGAAAATTGGACAGGTACAGGCAAAAAAAATGAAACTACTAATTTACATCATACATAAGAATAAACTCAAAATGGATAGAAGACTGAACTGTAAGTTGTGAAGCCATAAAAATATTAGAAGAAATTATATGCAGCAAAATCTCAGACATCTCTTGTAGCAATATGTTTACAGATACATCTCCTAAGGCCAAAGAAACTAAGAAGAAAATAAACAAATATGACTCCATCAAAATAAAAAGCTCTACACAGCAGAAGAAACCATCAGGAAAATGAAAAGGGAGCCAATTGCATGGGAGAACTTATTTGCCAATGATATACCTGATAAGTTGTTAATTTCCAAAATATATAGGAACTCATACAACTTAACAAAAGGAAGACAAACAATCCAATTAAAAAAAAAGGAGCCAAATATTTACTTTAAATCTCCTATTTACTTTAGAAATTCAAGATTTATAGAATACCAAAAAACTCAGGGAGAGGATTTATAAAAAACTGAAATTTTCTAGTTCACTACACTCTTTTAAAAAAAGACTTAGATTTTTAACTTTGCTGTCAAACACAATGGCCACTATAGAGACCAACCTGTGAATTAACCTAAATCTATAGTTTCAATATGATAATCATCTTGTAATTCTGTTGTTACAAGCTGGTTTATCATATTGAAACTATTTAAAAGCCATGGTATTACTCTTAAATTCCAAAGGCAATACCTATATTTAATCCAAGAATTACTCAACTGTAAGAAATACAAATACAGCTTTTAAAATGAAGATTTCCTGTGGTTTAGGATGAGACCATGCTTCATTCTGCTCAGGTTGTATCAACCTTTTGTCCATTTATGTATCTTTAGGCATACTTACCAAATATCACTTGTTGAATCTCAAATACACACATCCTAACATTCCAAAACTCACACAAACCAGAGTCTCCAACTTTATGGATGACTTAGTTGACATTCCTTTGTGAAGCAATAGCACTTGTGGATCATAAAAATCAGACTTTATGTAAAGTAGGTGGGTTGCTGATCTGTAAGAATGCCCAGGCCTTTATGAATTGTTTGTAAGCTGAACAGTGCAAGCTTTATTTTCCTTCTGTAATTAGCCAAAATAATTCTAGTGAAATTCTGGTAAAGATCTCTAGTATGAAATGAATGTAAAGTATTCATTCTTTCTCTCCGGTTTCATTCTAGCTCATTTATTTATTTGAAAACAATCCTCTAAGTTGCTTTTCCACTGCTTTTCATGTTACAGATTGAGAATGTTGATGTCTGCCTTAGTTTTCTGGCAGCCAGAGGAGTAAATGTCCAGGGCCTATCTGCTGAAGGTAAGAAAAAGTCTGATTGTTGCAAATGATGCCATGTTTGTAAAAGATTTTTTCATAATGCAAGAAATATAAATTGAGAGTTCATAGCTCCTCAATACAATAAAGAAAATGAGTAGAGTTTTTACACTAAGAGGAACATAAATGCAGTGGTTATTAATGTATGCTTTAATTAACTGCTCTTTACATTACTAAGTATATGGGAGGGGAGCAGATTAACAAAGCAGCTTTATGATATTACCAGTGTATAGTATTTTTAAGTGTCTTAACTAGAGGAATGGATGGATGGATGATGCTGGATAATATATGGACCTAAATATAGGTACTAATAGTGTAATTAATATTTCAATATTTTATCAATAACATTCCTTTAATATGATCATGTTCATAATCCTACTTTAAATATTTGGTAATTTTAAATAAGTCATCATGAGCTCTAAGATAATTATCACTAACAGTATTCAATAATTCCAAAGGCTTTTATGTCATTAAGGTTTAAAAGATCATCATTAAAAGTAAATATAGAAAAGTTGAAAAAGACAATAGTTCTGTCGTGTTTTTTTTTCTCTGAATCAGTCTGTTTCTTCTATATACATACTTAAGAAAATTTTTCAAGTAACTGCTAACAAAAAGCCATGGTTAAAGTTATGAAAGCAAGTCTTTTGAGACCTGCATCTACAACAAGCATTTTAATGAGGATATTAATCATTACATAAAAAGTTCTACTAGCTGCTTCAAACACTTGGACCATTTAAATTGGTTAATGTTTCTACTATGATCAGTTTGCTCTGAAAAGCATTTCACCCCCCCAGGTACTAGAAATGTTAGACAATTGCACATTTTAAAATTTTGCTATCATTGGAAAAAGAGGAATTGTATGGCTTTCTCAAACATAATAAGCATTTAATAGAATTATTTACTTTTCTCAATTTTCTTCTATATTTAAATTTTCTTTTGTTTTACATTTTTATTGTAGTTATATTTTATGTCTGATATTAAATTACATATTTAATGGCCAAAGAACTTAGGCTCAAACCTATCTGGTGGTTCTGTTACTTAGAATAAAATTTGAGAAAATTCTCCAAGATAATATTTTACTTATCTGTGGTTAAAAGCAAGCTAAATAATCCTGCCATCATATATATTGTTTCTCACATAACATCCTTTATTAACATAAACCTATTGATATTAATTTATCTTCTAAAATACACAAATGCTCAAAATGACTTTCAAAAGTATCTAAAGTAGTTAAACATGCATAATAATAAAACAAGACAAATTTTAAAACTCTTTAAGATCATTCAGGTTTACAGAAGAAAATACTTTCTTATATTGATCAAACCAACTATTCTGTTTTATGGCAATTGTGAGGAATGTTTAGGTAAGACAAATAGAAGAAAACTCAGTCTCATTTTATATGAATAATTCAACTGCATGGTTTGTATGCACCATCAGAGAGCAAGAATTCAAAATAGTTTATTAATGTTCCTAAACTCTATGAAGGAGACATCAAAATCTGATCTCACAGGGAATGTGCTTTATTTCCAATATCAAATTTTATTTAAAATATGACTGCTAGTTGGATAGCCTTATTTTAAGCTTTACTTCCATCTCTTTTCCTAATTTTTAAATTATAACTACAAGAGAAAAATCTAGTCTCAGATTGTAGCTTACTTTGTGCATTTAATTCTTTATTCAATATTAGGAAATTTACTCAGGAGACTCATGTGTTAGAATTAGGATTTTTATTTGCATATTTATTCAATTATGTTGTCTAAAGCCATGAGTACATTGATCTTTATTATTTATTGATATGTACCATGAATTAAAAATAAAAGAATTGGACCATTAAAAACTGATACCTATGATGTACTCAGCTTTTGGAGCATAAATAATGTATTTTAATAAATTGTTTGATGGGTAATTTAGAAGGCATGTTGACTGCTATAAATTCAATTGCTATTATAAGATGCGCCCAACCCCTCATTACTTACAATTCAGGGACAATGACGTTTAAGTGGCTTTCTTTCTCCGGTTTATAGCCACCACAGTTTTGGTAACAGCTGTGTGTATTTGTGAAGGAAGGAGAGTGCTGAATCAAATGATTGGCACAAGACAGAGAGCCCATCCATTTCCAAGAAGCTAACTCTAGGAAAAGTGTCGTCCAGTCAGCACAGAACATCACTCAAGGAAACTTTGTTCTCTGTGCTCTCCATCCCTTCCCTTTCTCCCTGAAATTCCAAGTCTTTAGAAATGTTCACGTGTTAGAAATTCAGATTTGTTTGAAACTGTGACCGAGAGGGCAAGTTGCATTTTTCTCTTTGTAGATACAGTCTTAGCTAAGGGAATGGCATCTAGAATGTCATTTATAAAAATATAAAAATAAAACCACATTCATTCCGTATGATACTGTTTTTATATTTCCCCTTTGATGCAGAAATAAGAAATGGAAACTTAAAAGCCATTCTAGGGCTGTTTTTCAGTTTGTCTCGCTACAAACAGCAGCAGCACCATCAGCAGCAATATTACCAGTCCCTGGTGGAGCTCCAGCAGCGGGTCCCTCACACCTCTCCTCAGGCAGAAGCCAACCAGGCCAAAGCCCAGCAAGACATGCAGTCCAGGTAAGGCAGGGAAGCAGGGCAGGTGTTTAAAATCAACTTATAGGTACAGCTTGTTTTTAACAAACTGTTGTTTGTGATTTTATATATATATTTATGTAGTTCTGTCAATAAGATGGGATTATTTGACTAACATTGTAGACGTTAAAACCACTTTTCTTTGGTGGGATGAGCAACATTTATCACTTGTTAGGTGACACATTTTATGTTTGTTTCCTAAAAATGATTATGGTTTGTATCAAAGTGTGTGGTGTCTTTCTTGTTAAGTAATATAGCATGGTCTCTTCCTTCCGCAAATTCCTTTATTGTTTAGAATGTGCTGTTGAATCCTAATCTCCAGTTGTGTAGGTATCTTTTGTTGACACATTTGATGGGCTGAATCTCTGAATCGGTGAAAAATTTCAGTTCTGAGAAACAGGAATTTGAGTGTTTGAATACATACTGTTTCTGATGTGAGATTGTGCATGTGAGTGATTGTGTATGTGTGTTTATATACACATAGGTATACGTTTGTCTGACTGGAGTCTATTGGTACATGTAGACACAGCCTAGGGCGTGCCCAACCCATCTCACCCAGTTTCACCCTGCCAGCCACCTTCTAATTAATTTACTTTCAATGTGCATGAATCTGTGCACCGGGCCTCTGATTTATTATATTTACTAGAGGCCTGGTGCACAAAGTTCATAAATTCATGCACTGGGGTTTGTGTTGGGGAGGATCCCTCAGCATGAACTCTCTCTCAGTCTAGAAACCTACTGAAAATGCCCAGCTGATGGCTTAGGCCCACTCACTGTCATCCTTAAGCTGGCAGTCAGACATCCTTACTGCTAATGCGCTCCGCCAGCCATGAGCACAGCTTATGGCTGAGTGGTGCTCCCCCTGTGGGAGCACACTGACCACCAGTGGGTTCCTGAGTTGAGCATCTGCCTTTTGGTGATCAGTGTATATCATAGTGATCAATTGTTCTGCCGTTTGGTCAATTTGCATATTAGCCTTTTATTATATAGGATTGTTTATTATTAGCACTTTCTCCTCTCTAGGGGACAGCAATATTTTTATATTTTAGTCATTTGTTGTAGTCCAAGAACTACCATAATAATAAAATAACTTATTATTATTATTATTATTACTATTATTTATTGATTTGAGTGAGAGAGGAAGGGGAAGAGAAATGCAGAGAGAGGAAAAAAAAATATGGATTTTTTTTTCTACTTATTTATGCATTCTTTGGTTGATTCTTGTATGTACCTTACTTGGGAATTGAACCCATAACCATGACTTATCAGGATGATGATCTAACTAACTGAGCTATCCAGCCAAGGCCATATAATAAGTATTTAGAATTATTGTAAGAATCTGTACTATAACTGCATCCAATTTAAGTAAGAACTCTTTATAAGATTTACAATTACAATTGCCATTTTAAATTAAACTTGCATATATTTATAAAACTAGTATGATATAAACAATTGAAAAATTTCTGGATTTTTGAATGATCATGATATTGAACTATAGTTATGTTTTCAAATGTATACATCATAAATTACCCAGATGCATGGTACTGCTTGCTTCTATCCTAATTGATCTTTGATTATAGCCTTTGTTTTTTAGTAAATATATTATAGCTATTAGGTTCCTTTGCTTTCTGCTGTTATTCATTAATTCATTGCTGTCTCTGTTGCTACCTCTATGCAATACTGTCCTTCACTGATGTGTGATTTCAGTTCTGTGAGGTGAGAAAGCAGATTACAAATTCTGATACACTTTTGCTACTGAAAAAAGTAAATAGGTGATAGAGCAAAGTGCTTGGGCTTTGGAAGGTCACTGATAGTTTAAAGTCATTCATGTTTACAACTCATTCCTTCTCTGTCTTGTCTTGCTTAGACAAGCCAAATATGATAACTGATCTAGTATTCAGAAATGATGTATCTAATTTTCAGCTGATAGAGTATAGTCTGCCTTTTTTAAAAAAAATTTTATTATAGCCTGGTAAAAATATCAATGATACAACTAGTCCAACATGAAAATATTGTCTTTAAAATGTCCAGATTACTAATTCATTTGGTTAATAAATAATATTAATATAAAAATTTGTCCTCATCTTGTCAATAAAATTTAATCTTATAAGGGGAATAAACTATTGAAAGCCAAATGCTTCTGAATTAATCCCCAAATGGCCTTGTATATGTGATTTAAATTGATTATATGTAAAGACAATTTTGTTCCTTGATCACCAATCACTTTTATCATTGGACTTGAATTATACACTGTTGTATCTGTGCTAAGATAAATGTGGGGCTCAAATTTAAAATTTTTTATATCCTTCACATGGGGAAATATTTGCTTATCTTTTAGTGGTAAAGACTTGATTAGTTAAGTCAACAATTCTTAATATTTTTAATATATTGAACATAAAACTTAGTTTTCTCTATATCAGAGATCTCCACAAGAATGTTACATGGGTAAATATTAAATATCTTGCTATATTATATAATGTTAAGCATCCTATTTGCATTTACTTAATATAGTAAATGCAAAACCAATTTGTTCTGTTTTCCTGTTTTGAAAAGAGTAGATTAAATATGCTTTATCCAATCAACTAGGAAATATGAGAAATACTTTATATAAAGTGATGAGTTGAAATCAGAGTTATTTTTATAAGTTTTAACTGTGAGATCAAGGATACACTATTTCTTATTCTGAAAAACAAGGTAGAAATAAATTCTATAATTTTCAAAATCAGAAAACTAATTTTTATCAATAAATATGTTGTAGGTATTCAGAATACTTCTGCTAATAATACTTTTCCATATATTCTGTTTGCTTTTGTTGTTGCTTTGGACAATTAGAGTTCTAGCTGACATTAAGATAACAGAAAGTTGAATTTCACCAAAACCATACAGTGCCTGGCATGAGTGCAGCTAGCCATGAGCAGAATGCATGCTATGAATGTACAACTTGCTAAAGAATATCTGATAAAGATTATAGTGAAAGAAAATTATAAAATTAAAATATGTTTCATATCTAGGGTCTGGTTACACATATGAGGTGTTAGGATGATAGCATATGTAAAAGATAATTTTTATTTGTTAATTTTTTTAAAGGGAAGTGATTTTCCTTAAAATGTGGGCCTTCCAGTTTAATTTTGATCCAGATTACTAAATGATTTTCCATCCCATCATTAAATAATTTGAATCACATGAGCAAGTACTTTATTTATTTTGCAAAATGAAAGCATGCACTAGTAAAAAACAAAAACAAAAAAAACTTGAAAGTGAAAGCGGAGATAGGTGACAAATCACATTGGTAGATCATAGAAGTGCTAAAGGCAGTAATGTTGTAAGTCTTTATGAACTAAAACAAGAGCTTTTGGGGAATAGGGGAGCTTGTGGTCTCCACAGATCATATTTGCTCTTCTGCTTTTTATTTTGTGGAAGAACACCAAGAATGAGTCCACTTGCAATTTAGATGAACTTTTCCTATAGAACTCACAGGCCAGATTGCACATCTTTGGGAGCATGCTTTTTGAGTGACTTGTCCATTCCCTTCTCAGTCCCTTCCCAGGGCTCACTTGACCCCTACCATCCACATTACTCTTGGAACCCTCTCCCTACAGAGAGTATTTGCCCTTCACTTTTCCCGGAATCATGGTGTCCTTCTGGGAGATTCACTGTGAAACTGGGATGACTTGCCAGCCTGCGGTTATAAATCCTGTAAAGTATATGAGGAAGTTTAATTTAAGGTGACAGGAAGGCACTGGTAATTTAAGCCCTCAGGAGCCTGGCTTCTATTAGTTGCTTAACTCAGCGCTGTGTTGTGGTCTGTGGTAGGCTCGTCAAAAAGTCAGTGAATCAACCAGACTTTAAACACAATAAAACTAAAAGAACATTTATGAATCTTTTTAAAAAAATACATTTTATTGATTTTTTACAGAGAGGAAGGGAGAGGGATAGAGAGCTAGAAACGTCAATGAGAGAGAAACATTGACCAGCTGCCTCTTACATGCCCTTGACCGGAATCGAACCTGGGACCTTTCAGTCCACAGACCGACGCTCTACCACTGAGCCAAACCAGTTTCGGCATGAATCTTTTCTTAAAAACCAGGATAGTATCACCCCTAAAGAAAAATAATTGAAGAGAAATAATTTGCTCTTTATTTGAGCCATTTAGGAAATTTAGAGTGTAAGAATATTAAAAGAATGTATGTGTACACACACGTTTTGCTTATGTTCTATGTTTTTATTCCCTATTTTAAAAGCATGGTAATCACTTTATTTCTGTTATTATAGATGAAGCAGCATTAATGCAGTTTTGGTTATTTTAGAGTCAGGCAAATAAGGGTTTGAATTCTGCCTGCCAACTACTGGTGATATGATGTTGGGCAAGTGACTTTAGCCTCAAATACCAGTGTTCTAAGCTCTACTATTGAAATGATGATAACTTCCTCTCATTGATATTGAGAAGAGATTACCTGTGTATAAATCTCCTCCTAGTTAGCCTAATACTTAGCATATAATAGACACAGATAACTATTCATATTTCCTCCTGCTGTTAGATCCAATCTCATGTATTACATAAAATGCATTGACCACATTAGAAACCTAGTCAACCTCATCACTGTTCCCTCCTTTCTCACTTTCTCTGATCAATTCTGTCCATTTTACTTACTTAATTCACTATGTAAACGTTATTCATAGTAATGGCATCCTTATAATTAAAAATAACAACCTAATGCTCAGACCTTTCCAAACTCAGTCTAGCTACATTGAGGTAACTCCTTTAATTATTTTAGGTAGTTCCTTTACTAGTTATTACCATATAACTGAATAAAATACTTCTGTTAATTTTTTATTTACTAATTTGGTCATTTTCTTTTGATTCAATACCCATCAATCCCAAACCCTTTTACTGTAGTTAACAAATATTTATTTAGCACTTTTCCAGGCCGTAGATATATATAGCAGAGGACAGAATACACCAAAGAGTCTTTGCCTCTTAAAGG